AATAAAATGTGGGGTATCATTTGTGTTGTTAGGAAGAACCTCTTTTAAACTTAATTTTCCACTAAAAAAAATGAGTCGCCTTTATTTTCTTCGATGGTTGTTGTAAAGTATTCACTTTTTTGTACGGATTTAATTTTTAGCAACCGTGTTTTGCATAGGCTCAATAAACCAAATAATGAATGTTTCCTATGGGATAAATTATTCCCATTAGGCCCATGTAAACGAATATTCCATTTTACACACTACTCATTCTTGAAAGGAAAATCGGCCTCCCACCTCAGAAATTCCATTTCCACATACTGTAAGTATTGTCTATTTTCTTGGGCATGTATATGAGGCGCCAAGTTCGGCATCATACTAACATTAATCATCATTCCTGATAAAGTAACATCAATACGCACAATTTAGTCAAATCGCACCTTATTCCTTCGTACGAATGAACAGGGCTTCCAACAATAGCATAACATTGACAATTGATGTCAGTCAATGATAATTACGATTAATTAATGTGGAAAATTCTTTCGACTGAAGTTTGGTAGAGGAATTTCGATATGATTCGATATACCTCTTAATTCAAGAGTTCCATTTACAATTGTTTGTTTTATTATAACTTTTAAGGTGTTTTTGGCACGTACGCCTAATGTATAAAGGTCTTGGTGCCTAAATCCTGAATCTGTTATCGGTAGTTATTTCGGTCATCACATAATTAACGCAAATTAGGCCTACTTTAAACACAGTAGTGGTGACCGGCCAATTGGACAATTTTCAGATGTTACTTATAATATTTTTCATGATAGTGAATGGGCCTAAAACATGCCTCTGTTGATTTGTTGTCAACACTCAACTTTTACGCTAAGCAACATTTAGCAGATAGGCCTATATCTAGGCCCCTACTTGAAAATAACTGGTATGAAATTACAACTTACCAAATACTCCATATCAGTTTCTTCATTGTTCAGCCTGTACGCTCCACAGGACGACAGTAATACCGCACTCAAAATAGCTACGCCTGATACAACACCTTTAAGCGCCATGATAGCAGCTAACTCGAAAGAAGTCAAACAGAATGTAGCTCGCCTGAAAAATAAACCTGACTTTAATTGTGGACTTCATGGTTCAGCAAACATATCTTGTATACTAAAGTCTTTTTATTCTTTTCAATGCGGCTACGTAGGAGTGAAGTGAATGACAATACTTTTAGCTTTTACACCTTTTGTTAGATATTCCATAGTAGATTTAATTTTTTTATTCAGTAACCTTGCCTTACGATCCACCCTTTGACGTACCAAAAAAAATACAAAGGCTATGGTAATTGTAAATCTATATGCATTGTATTTTCTTTTATTTCCTTATAGCTGGTAGTGATGCTCGAATAGAATACTTATATAGTAACTTCATGTTTTTAATGACTTTTTAGGTCAAATACAGTTGCACACTATGGGAGGCATACTCCATGTGAACGTCGGTGGCATTTTATAAATGCATTGCATTTCTTTTATGTCCGTATGATGATGTTTAAATAGTGCAATTTGTTGTAATGACTTTTAGGTGGAATATGAGGCAGCGTAGGAATACTCCAGGGACCTGGCTGTGAACGTCGGTGGTACATAGGGTCTCTTTTTGCTATATTGGGCAACATGAATTATAGTAGAACTCAGTGGTGCCGCCAGATTGCTCTGATGAGGAGGGAGGGGGGAGGGGGGCTGGAGGTGGGGCAGTCTGGAGTCCGACGAGAGCGTAAGTGGGTGTGGTCAGGCGTCACTCAAAATCTCGCGGCAGTGGTCATGGGGTTTGCCCCAGGAACTATGACAATTGAGGGCTTTCAAAAGCCTATTAATTAATCTAGCAATTGAATATATAAGAAATATATATATGTCTCTCGACGGTCTGAGCGCTTTTTCTCCCTGACCAGTGTGGGAGCAACTCTCTCCGCGACGGGGTCCTAAATATATATATATCTCTCGACGGATTAAGTTTTTTCTCCCTGACCATTGTGGGGGAACTCCGACGGGGGGCCCACTGGCGCAACCCCTGGTAGAACCTTTGGGAAACCCCTATTAAAGGGACATTTTTCCTTAAAACGAATATGGACACTAGTCTACTAACCCAATTATTAAGGGGACACCTCTTTTAAGGGGACGGGACACTTTCTGACTGTGCCAAATGGTCAATTTAACACATATTCCACCCTAAGGGAACATTAATTTTGTTTTATCCTATCGATTACGACAAATTTAATAGAATACCGTAAAACCTCGAACTGAAGCCCAATGCTCGAATCGAAGCCCCCTCTTTATTTTGCAAAATAAGCCTCGAAAAGAAGCCCATGGGCTTCTTATCAAGATAGCATAGGCCTCTTTTCGAGAGATAGTACCGGTACGTGTCACACTGTACATGAATTTCAAAAAACAAAATAAATGAAAAACCAGCTTGGTTTATACAGTAGTTTATGTGATTTAATGCCAGTTAAATACACTATATGATATTATTTGATGTTACAGTGGCCTTATTTATTCATCATAGTACAAATGCACAAAATTTACAGCAATCATTTTGAAAAAATAAAAAAAATGTAATAAAAGCGGGTGAAACCCCAACAAAAGACAAAAAGAAAGAAAAAAAAACCAAAAAAAAAAAAAACCGAAAACAAAAAAGCAATGAGAAAATTAAGACACGTGGATTCATTTCAAGGGACAATGAAAAATAAATCGATAATAGATTCTAGAACATTAAAAAATAGTCGTACGTATGGAATAATTAAGTCGTGCGTAGTTTTTCTTCGTGATTTAATACTGGAATTATTTTTCAAGGCAACAGCTACAAGTTGAAAAAGAAGAGCATAGATATATGGTGGGTTTGGGGTTCCCCCCAAAAAACCTTTGCTTTATGTCTGGAAATTTACTCTTCTGAATCCTCTGTAAAACTTAGTATTTTCTGTGTGATATTTATTATACTGTATTACTTACGAATAGACCTAAAGAAGTCTAAACTATGGAAAATTAGGCGATATTGAGGGTGGGTGGTCTGAGGGCCTTACGCCCAATACCAGAAACGTGATATTCTGGTATTGAGAGACTTGTTAATGAAAACCCTATTAATTAAGTTTTTAACTGTGTAATATTTCATTACAAATTTACCCTTGATCGAGTTGAATAGTTTGGTGGTTAAGATGCTTGCTTTCCAATCAAGGGTTATGGGTTCAATGCCTATAACAAGCATGATTTTTCTCACGACTAGAACAATTCCACTCCCAAAGCATCATTATGATGCCCCAATTTGAAGTATTACTATTATGTGTCTAAGAGGCCCCATTCAGTAGATTAATAATAGCATTAAAAAAAACAAAGAAAGTCAGCAAATTGACATTCAAAACACTGACATGAATACATGGGCGTAGATCATCCGTCTTCAGAAGTTAAAACTCCACTTTCCAAAGCGAGTGGGAATTAACGACAATTACGAATAACACTCATGAGTTTGTTCCAATTTTTTCTGTGCGCATTTACAGAGAAAACCGGGTAAGAAGAATGGTTAGTGGGTCGATCTATTTCGACTTACGGTACCACGATTTTACGAACTCCGATGTTACGTTCATTTAGTTTCGCCGTTGATGTCATGAAAAATTAAGTATTTTCTGTACCTTATGTTAACATTCACCTTCATGTTTGTGAAATAAAAACGTTCCATTACTATCACGTTTAAACTAATGTTTATGTGTGCTTCCTATCTCCCTAGTAGTCCCGTTTTATCGTAAATTAAATGGTACATATATTTCCCAGTAGTGTGGTCGCAATTTACAAAAAATAAGTTAAAAAGAGGAGACAACTGTTATACTGTTACTGGGCATTTATAATGCGCCTTGTTGCAAAGAGCAACCAAAGTTTTCGCGTGATTTCAATTGTTTTGAGCAACCGAATAACATCAGTTTCAGAAAAAACCCATCTCATACCACACAACAAAATGTGATACTTAAAAATTATGAAAAATAATGGAGAAAACCATTAAAGTCAACCATAAACTTTAGAAGTATTGTTGCTGCTGTCATTAAAGGAAAATATCTTGGTTGATTTTTCGTTTTGAAGTTCTTCAGGCTATTTTTTTTTCATGGTTGGAAAACATTTAACTATTCAAAATAACATCATTATTATTTTTATGAATGTAGCTTGCACAAAAAATGTAAGTGGACATTATATTAGACCGAATAAAAAAAATACTAGTTTCTCGTCCCCTCTCGCATTAATTTTCTCTGCCTCACGATTTTTTTTTTTAAATTCCTTTATTTTACGAAATATACGAATATCTGGCTAACTCACATGAGTAAAATTCCTCTTTTAATCGCTCGTGGTTTGGAATAGACTATAGCATGAATCATGTCTAGAGCTTCTTTCACTTGCTTTCAATGTGTCTACTTGTTAAAGGTGAGAAAGTAATACCTGTTTCCCATCGACCATCTTGGATTTGCCATCTTGGAGTACAGGCCCGTAGCCAGGTTTTTCCAAGGGGGGTTTTCTGGGCGTGAGGTCCACAGTCGAAGCTCCGGTGGGGTCGGCAAACATCCCCAAAGCAAGAGGATTTTTGTGCTTTTTGGGTCAAATAATGCTATAAAAGCAGATAGGCCTATGTTTGAAAATGTCTGTATCTGGGTGGGTCTGCAGTGCATTAGTTGGGTTGGAGGACTTATTTAGGAAATTTAAAGAGGGGGTTTCGGTAGAAAAACAAAAAAAAAGGGGTTCTCCCGAACTATAAAAACTCCCCCTGGACACGGGCCTGGAGTAATCCCATCTAATTTCCCCCTTTTTTTTCTTCAAAATATTAGGACAAGAAAAGCCTACTTTTACTTGGCCTTATTATGATGCATTTTCTAAAAACGTAGTGTGGAAATACATGTTGTAAATTCAATATTTCGGTGCCTTCATCCCCTGGGTCCCTAGAAGGTCTGGCAACCTTAGCTACCGGTAACGCCAAATAATTTGATTTTAATAACAGCAATAAATCATAAGTAGTTATATGAACATTTTATTATATTTCTGATTAATCATCTAAGATTACAGTAATGTAGGTATAAATTTAATTTAATTATATAAAAATGGTATACCATTTTAAATGGTTACAAAATCTTTAGCATTTTGTATTTTTTTTTTGATTGGTCATATGCCTGCATTCCCCCAATCTCCTTTCTGGATCCAACACTGATCAGATAAATAATTCAACCAACTGACTTCAAATTATACCACTGTATTCTAGTATTTCAAACAAATCAGTGCAGATAAAATGATCCGATGATATACAGTACAAAGAAAAAAACCATGATTTAAATTCTCTTTTACTAATACACCCTACTTGCTAATTTAATTTATCAACTAGTATATTTTCGCTTGGAAAAACATATTTACTATTCAAATTTTGAAATAATCCACTTCAGTGATTTATGGAATATATTCACCTCATTATTTACTTACCATATCATTAATTGATTACCATATTAAACATAAAAAGACAACCTTTTTGTACTGATATTTCTATGTAATTTTGTAATTTACTATTGGATTGTTTTTGCTTGCATTTCATATTGCTGTACTGAAATTTAAAAAAAAAACTAGTTGTCATTGAAAAATGGAGCTTCCAAATACCAAAACAGATCACAGTTGGTGTGCCGGTATTATATATGCTGCAAAACTTGTACAAAGTTATTCATAAATTGTGACAAAATAAACTAATTGTATGTCGATATTCATATTTATAATCCCTTTTTAAATACATGACCATTCCGAGCTTACCCTTCTGTGAATGCTGTGTTTGCAGTATGAAAATACTGACAGTAAAACTAATCAATCACTTGCATCAAATGTGTACATTTTAAATACTTCAACTTGTAAAGTGAACTTTTTATTATCTTTGTTAAATTTTGTACTGTCATCCTTTACATATTGTGTATTCTCCTTAGAATAAAACATAGTCGGTAACATTCTGAGCAAAGTACATGAAATGTATGTATTGCTTCCGGTTGCCACAGTACTTCAATAAAAAGCATCAATTTAATTAATCATTCTAAATAGAAAAAATATATTATGTGCTGAATTAATTGCTTAGATAAGTTTTTTCTAGAGAGTTTGAATGTTTTAAATTTGAAAGTACTTTAACATAGGAGTTTGGTGCCAACAGGCAAGAGTCTTGTTGATGGTACACTCAATAGCATTTTGAATAATGTATTGTTGGAGAGACCGTGACATCAACTTGTCAATCAGTTGCAGCTTAGTTTAAATAGTGAGCTGTCAAGCACTCCCCACCCTCAATTTTATTATCATACCAGTATTTCATTTTTCAATTAACAAAGGCATTATTTCTTCTTGATGTGTTCATTGATCAATCAAAAAAAAAAAGTTTTGCACTTCCTGTATACAAACACGGACTTCTTTGCAATAGTTCATTTTCTATTCCTTGGCTTTTCCATTTTTTTTCACATTCATCTCATATTCCTGGACTTTCCCCTATTTTTCATCATATCTCTTGGCTTTTTTCTCTCCTTCCATATGAATTATCATTCATCATTATTGTCTTCTGTACTTACTTAGCTTTCCATAGCATTTTTTTTCTTTCTCAGCATAAAGTTACAGGTTTGAGAAACACATTCGGTCCATTCCATTCGCCTACCAGCACTATCAAACTTTGTGATAAATAAATGTGATATGCCCATATTTGGGTGTAATATGACATCATCATATCCATATATGGGCACAATTTGTGACACAAAATTGGGGATTGAGGATTTATATACAAAGATGTCTGACAGTAATAAATGTTGTTTTTAAAGTTTATGATATACTGTCACTTTCAAGTATTCATTGTTAAGAAGAAAAAAGGTCTTCATCCTCATCGTATCTAAGTATAGGTCGTTGGTCCTTATGTTTTGGCTTTGTACGGCTAAAAGCTGAAAATAAACATACAATATTTTAAATGCCTTGATAACAATGACAACAGAGTGAATGATACTGATAACATACACATAGATATTGTGTGCATTTTTTTTATATTACTGTACTTATTAATAATTTTTTATATTTGTACTTTGAAATATGCCCAACAAATAGCAGAAAATATTTTAAAGTTTACTTACAGACATCACCCCAGGGGAAGGATGAGTCCCCCGCGTTCTCCTGTACAGGTTGACGTCTTGCAAAAGATACTTTCAATTTGACATCACGGAAGATCGCTTTATCCATCTCTTTTATTGCTTGATCAGCTGCTTCTATCTTCTCGAAGGTCACAAATGCAACACTAAAATTGAGCATAAAATAAAAGATTTATAATTAAAATTTCAATTATTAAATAATAAGACAATATTAAGCTTTTTACAACTCAACAATAGCAGCTTTAAAGTCAGACTCCGGAGGAAAAAATTTGTTGATATGTTGTAGATCTGATTTTTCTAAGACAGAAAAAGTTGTTTGACGAAGAACTGGGGAACGGTGAATGAGATACAGATTTTTGAATGTTTAAAACTGGGGAAAAAAGATGTATCTCATTCACCATTCACCGTTCCACAGTTCTTCGTCAAGCAACTTTTTTTTCTGAAAAATCAGTTCTACAACATATCAACATTTTTTTTCCCTCCGGAGCCTGACTTTAAAATTAAATTTAGAATCTGTATGTTAATTTATAATTTCTGTCTTTGTTTTCTTCAGAACTGAAGGCTTTTATCCTATTTCTATTTTTCTGTATACTGTATTATATATTACTCTTTTTTATATTTTCTTTTTATACACATTTTTTACTTATTTAATTTAAAAAAAAAAAGTTTTCTTCATTTCTTGGAACTATAACCCTAACTAAATCCTGACTAGCTTTGAAAATTATCATAGTACAGTATGTAATATTTCATATTTTAACAAGACTCATTTTCTACAGTAACTGAATATGCTATGATGCCAAATATATTCCCACCTTTTTAAAATAGTTAAAAAATATAAATTAAATATGATATCATAGCATTTCCCATGTTGGACTTTTAGAGAACGTCAGTATGTGATGTAAATTCAACAATGTATTCGGAGCACAATCTTCTTTTTAAAATCTAGTAATTGTGTAATAATTTTTCTCTCTCCCTCACTTAATACTATTACTACTATAATATCACAATTATATTATTATTATCATTATTATTATTATTATCATCATCATCATCACTGGTATTCTTGAAAAATTAATTGTACATAAATTTACACTGCAAATAACATTGAATGAAGGAGAAAATGTAATAAAAATATAATATATCATAGGGTATATTCCTGATGGCATAATTAATGTCAAAATATTGAATCCCAACATGATATGTATTTCAATATAAGGTAAGTTATAAATGAAATTTTATTCATCAAATAGTATGAAAATTAAAAGGATTCCAAACACATTAGATAGAAACATTTCATAAAATTTTAAAAAGGTTCAACAATTGATAATATCAAAATTAATAGGCCTACTACCAATACACTACTTAAAGCAAAGCATATATTAAATACTACATGGTGTGAATGGTACTATACTAATGGATAATAAAATATTGTCTACGTAACTGAAATAACAAATCACTCACTGGGGTGCATTTTGTGTTGCTATTTGTTTTTGCATTGACGCAACCTTCTTGGCAAGATACTGTTGCTACTCTCTAAATTTAGCTTTCAATATTATTTATCGTAGATCAAGAGGGGCCTTTGGGGGTGTTACAGATGAACCATTATGGGGAGGTTTTGGGCCCCGCATAAGCTACCATCCTCCTGGGGTCGAGTGGCAGGGCCAAGAGGGGATCTAGTGCCACAGCCTGGTTTATTTTGTCTTTAACAAGTATATTAAAATAGTGTTCCAAAATGTATGTCATTCCTTATCACTATGTACACCATAGCAGGCCTGGCCATATTTTAAACACTCCATTTATTAAATAACATTTCTACTATTCTATGCACTAATCTCTCTCAAAATACAACACTCCTTTTATTAATTAACATTTCTATTATTCTATACACTAATCTCTCTCAAAATACAATATTTACACTCCTAGTAGAGTCATTTTCATGAGATCCGTGACTAATTTTATGATACCTTTTTTTCTCAATGGATTTGGCAAAATGGAAACTTGGTAATTAGAAACAGACCAATCATGTTAAAGCCAAAGTTTTATATTTAGGCCTACATTTGTACTCTATGTTACATGTCAAGATTATATAAATGAACTGAAGAAAAAACCAGAATGTCTTGAAATATTATAAACTGTCCAATGAAATGAAAGTGATAGAAATGTTGAATCTTCAAAATGTCTCTGTCTCTTTTTTTGAAGCTACTGTGCTTTTGATTTATTTAAGACTAAAACTAAATAGTAGATCCCTTGGTTTATGGAATGTCAGAATACACATTCCATCTTGAATGACTAAATGTTATACATTATGTTCACTGAAAGGTAAAAATTAAAAAATTTTCCCTTGGTTTTTAAAATCTTTCAATAAATAAACATCATTCCAGTCTATGTCTAGGCTATGAATGAATGTGTTTTTGTTTTTTGAAGTCAAACACCGTTCAAAAAAGGTAACGCCTAACACTGCACGCATATCTGAATTTTTATGGGCAAATTTACCAGTAAATATGTTTTCAAGTGGGAGAACATAAAGTCAGCATGGGTTTATTATAGAACAAATATGAACTATACCAGCCTTCTTAGCACAGTAACTTGTATATTGACCACAGGATTTAGACAAGCATTTAAAGCCTTAACATGCATCTGACCAGATCAGCCATTCAATTCATAAAAAATACATTGGGGAAGTGGTGAATTTATTTCATGAGATTGCGTATTAACCAATCATTAATTCTTATTATTATGTATGGTGGTAGAGTGACATTAAGGTTGAATTACAACCGTTACAGTGGCATAAGGTGTGTGCTGGCAGTGGGCAGTGGGAGAGGACGTCTTCAAAAAATGTTTGTACTTCCCATTGGAAATGGCCGAAGCAAACAGAAAATCACACTCAAGTAGATAAAAATCACCTCATATCACCATATTTTGCAACCTAGCCCCCTTTCACCTAATCATCGAGGCCCCCCCCCACTCCATCAGCACCCCAATTCCAAGACTTGAAGATACGCCTCTGAACCTTAATAACAAACTCGTTTACATTTGTTGTTAACCATATTCTCAACTTCATCATGAATCTAATTGATAGATAGTATACAGTATTATAAATTGTCACACTTACTTTTTATCCTTTTCCAAGTTCATGTTGAGAATGTTTCCAAACTTGTGAAATGCTTCTTTACAGATCTCCTCTGACAACATGTTGTAACCTTTCACATATATTGTGTTTCCTCGCTTTGGTTCCAAATCAGGATATGATGGTCCTAACAAGGTAGAAGTGCACAAGTGTTATTTTGAAGATGATGATTATTTACTCTCTTATTTCTAATAGAGTAATTCAAATTTATCTAAATTATTACTCTGTTGTTACTAAACTATTACTAAGGTTAATACTATACTACCTACTGTTTATCAAAATTACTATCACTATTGTTTATGTACTACTATTATAAATTTTTTCTTCGTATAGTTTTATTTGGTTTACTTATTTTAGCCGCAGAACTGTTTTAATCGATCAAAATCAAGCACAGTGGATGTAAACTTACTGCAAACTTTTGTTGATGTTATCACATAGAATGACAAAAATCATGTTGATAGCATCGACGACAGCTGGTATTAAATTTACATCCATTGTTTGACTTATTATCAAATAAACAGTTCTACAATTATTCATTCATTCATTGCACAGTGAAATAGTCGCAAACACATGCTTTTTCCATTGAAGTTTTTCGGAATGGCGCTCGAAATACGGCAGAAAGTCAAAAATTTGCAATAACTGTTCAACTCGGCGAGATAAGTACTTTTGTGCAAAAAGTGACTATTTTGGAAAGTTGAGAGCAAATGTGAACACTGTTTTGTTGAGCACGGTGAGATAGCTGCAAACACACACTTTTTTCATGGCAATTTGAAGTCTCCCTCCAATTAAAAACCCATCTCCAGTTAAAAACCAGTTTGCTGTGGCTCCAGATAAACATTTATTACATCTGTATTATTAATCTTTTTAAATTAGAGACCAAAGCAAGAACCAAAAAGAAGTGTTTAGGAAGACCTATATTTAAAATTTAAATTGTATTTCACTCATTAATCTTCAATATGCTAGGCTGTCATGAAATACTTTCCCACATTGTTATTAATTCCTAATGAAACTTTTTTTGAATACCACCATAATGGTACTAACACTTTAAATATAGTATTCAGTATTCTTTTATTGTCATTTGTAAACATTTGATTTGAAATAGCATTGTAAGGGTTGGATCTGAGCAGGAAATGTAATAAAAATATGATATAATACAATATATAACAAGTAAAAACTATCCCCTGCTGGAGACAATCCCAATAATAATTCTAGACTTAGGGAAACCATAGTGAAAAACAAGATATCTGGTTAATAAAAACACACATGCAGTCCTTAGCATGGTGTATCAAAGAAAAATCTAGAAAAGTCTAATCGAGTCACCTTTAAGATAAATTTTTAATGCCACAACTATTACTTGATCGCATGCACTTTCTCTCAACCTGACATGTTGCAGACTACTGAAAGTAATAACATAGCTTTAGCTACTAAAATTTGAAGTTGTTACTGATCCAATAACAAGACCCTTCTCCTCTTGTAGTTAAAACAGGGGTCCCAAGTTGGAAGAAGCCACTTCTGGGAGACATAGTTAAATGAGCTTTATTATGTTACACATGGTGATACCCTCCACCAGTTGATATTTGAAGACAAATGAAAATACAGTAGTAAAAGCATGTATATGTAATGAATTTGAGGGAGATGGGTTTTTGCTTCCTTACGAGAGTATGGGAGACTCTTCTCTTTTTACGGGAGATTTTGATGACTTGTGGGAAACTCTGAGTTATAAAATCATCTTTGACTTTATGACAGTTATATTTTTGATAATCATTAAATTATTGAAAACAAAGTAAGTATAAGTGTGTCAATAACTCACTTGAATCAGCTTCATTGTATTTCCTTGAATATCTATCACTGCTGCTTACAAAACTACAAAAGAAAAGGCAAATTAATGATAAATGTTAAATTAGAAGTTCAAATTCTTTGTTAAGTCTTCCAAGATATTTCTCCTTTAGTACACTTATAAACTCACATACTGTACTCGCGCGAATAAGTGCCCGTTCGCTTAAAATATTTTTAAGCGCCCGGGTGCTTACAATATTTTTTGCCTTTTTGAGAGGCGCTTATTCAAACGGGGTGCTTATGAAAACAGAGTGGAAATTGAGACGGTGCTTATGGAAATATTTGAAAATTGAGGGGTTTCTCTGGGAATTTGGAAAATCCATTGGCTGATTTTTGAATGAAAAAAATGATATAAGGACATCTGAAAACCGAAGATTACGAATGGTTCTGGTGCAGAAAAGAAAATCGTCCAGAGAAGATGGCTCGTGACAAGAATTCTGTGAATTTCAACAGCAGATGAAATTAGTGATGGTGTTATATAAGCATGTTGGCCATCTGCCGATTGAGATTAGCAGGATCATTGCATGGCTTCTTGCAAACTCACATGAAATGAAAATGTGCTAAAGGTGCAAATTTTTGGGGAAAGAAAAAGAGAAGTAGACAATTGTATGAAGAGGAAAGTGGAAAAGATACAGTCAAGAGAGCTCTCATCTGTCCAGGATAAAATATCCTCATTTTGAAATTGACATAAGCTGAAAATGTGAATCCACTTCGCAGCTCAAATCATGCCACCCACAGTCTCAGGATTAGATAGATTATCATTTGCTAAAAAAAATCAATCACAAGACATTGTTTAAAAAAATGAATAAACACTGAGGGGCGCTTATTTGAGGTGCGCTTATTCAAACAGGGCGCTTATACGCTTGAGTCCGGTACCACAACTCACTTTTACTCAATTGAAGAGCTATCATAATATCATCTATTATTTTAGTTATACTTGCAAGCAATGCTCCAGTATGGATGTTTTGTTTTACATTGCCAAATGAAGATGCTTCTCTTTTGTGCTTTTAAAGCAAATAAAGTTGATTCATATTTCATATATATTAAGTTTTAACACAATACAGGCCAATATCTGGTATACCCAAACATGTACAATGCACCACTGAAAATAAATAAATAAAATTATCAATTACCTTTCATATAATGGTCTGTAAGAAGAGCGTCTTTCCTTTCCAGGCGTTGGTGGTGCATCTTCTGTCGCTGCACCATTGAAAGGTTCAAAAGCTACCACACCAGATTTATCACACTTGTCAGAGTCTTTAGTCTTCTTCTCAAAATGTTTAGATCTCTTGAAACCACTTTCTTTTACTTTAGTTAATGCAGACTGTAGAACAAAAGTATTAATATTGCTAAATTCAATACATGTTTTTTAAAGAAATTATATAACTTTCACTGGAGGAAGACTAGACTTGATCATTAGTCAATAAAGAGGCATATTATACACCTACATATGACAAATAAAGAAATATCAGTATCAATATTTTGTTTAAGTTATTTTCTAATAAATATAGTTCTTAACCGTTCTGAATCAACAGAACAAGTGGTTGTCATTGACTATCAGAGTAGTTGACAAGCTTCAACTGAAGCATAGTACTGTACCTGACTTAGTAGGACTTTTTTAGCCGTTTCCTTTGCTTCCTCCTGACTGACTTCTGAAACAGCTGTTCAAAAAATTTAAGTTAAAAAGTGTGGTTATGCTTCTGTATTTCATCAATGTACAAAATAAGCTAGAGAAAAGAGGCTTTAAAATAAATAAATACTATACAATAGAAATAACGTCCAGTGGCGTCCCAGAGTTTGTGGGGCCTTGGCGGTGACTGTTATTGGGGGAAATAATAAGTTGAGTTTGTGAGCGGAGCAAGCAAACAGTCATTTGGGGCCATGGGGTTGTGTATTTCCCCCTGGTTCGGGATCCAGGGTGTGAAGGCCCCTGGTGGAGTTTCGCGCTCAGAGCTTATGGCATTTATGAACTGTTTCTGCATTGTCAGAGAACATAGAATGGTCCAAAATGGTGAAATATTTCAGACATTTTTATGACAAAACCAGCATAGACTACATAGGGCAACTTTTGGAACTGGTATAGGCCTACAATAGGCCTACTCTATGTAGGTGTAAATAAATAGAGAATATTTTGTTGAGAAATACAGCATGTTTTAATAATAACATATATGTGGTCACATATATTTATTATTAACTAAAACTTATTTAAGAATTATAATAATGTATAAAACCTGGCTAATATTTCTTGTTTTTATTTTTGCTTCAGTAATTAACTGAAATAGCATTTTGTAATTTTTTCACCTTATGGTCTAAAAGATTTTTTTTTTCCAACTCTGTAAATGTGGCTATATCTAAAGTTCTATAGTTCACTTACAGTAATAGCCTCCTTCCCAGCAACTTATATTTATAATTATACATGTATCAATTTTGTTTATGTTGTATGGAAAATAAATTGAACTTTGAACTTTATATACAATGTAAAGCAGATTGATCACAAAATCAGAAAAAAATCAGACAAACATCAGAACACAGCCTTTATTGTAAAAAACTGTCTGGGCTCCACTGAATGAAACTATGGTATTATAGTTTATATTATATTTTTTTAAAACTACAATGTCAGGGTCCCTCGTGTCTGGGGGTCCTGGCACTCCACCACTTGTCAGCGCCTGAGTGTGACGCCAATGCTAATGTCTGGAAAACTTCCTAAATGTTGAGATGTAAATGCTTAATATTATTTCACCAGCTACAGTATATTTTCTACTATTATTTAAATGAAAAAAAAATTTAATCTCATCTACAAGAGTCATTTTTAATTCAAACTTACTTCGTTTAATTCCCTTCGGTTTAACAACTTGTGATTCAGTTGGTGGCTTGTTCTTTGCCTGTTTCAGTAGATGGAGTGCTCGTCGCTGTATCAAAAGCAATATATGATCATTGAATGCCGATTTCAAAACAAATTATAGTATAAATAAATATCATTTCATATGTGTCATACCACAACAGAAATGCATTGACGATAGTAGGCCATACTAAAAGACTATATATTAAGTTTGGTATGCAAACCAGCCATATAAGTTAAAGAAGCTGCAGCATTTTTTCATAGTGAAATATTTCCTGTTTTAAATTATTGCAAGGCCTAATTTGCAGCATTCACTATTTATTGATTTTAATGAATTTTGGGGCCAGACTGAAAAGTAGAAAATTTGGAAGGTGAATGGGCCAAATCTTCTGATGATGAATCTGGAAATGTTAGGTCAGCTAATACTAATGTACAGAAGAAAACTAGCAGAAGTTGTAATCCTAAAGAAGAAGGCTAAAGTGGACAGATTTAGGCTACAGGTACTTGTCTGCTGTGTAGCAAGTGCTTATACGGTAGCAGGTCAAAAAGGCAATAAACCAAAACAGCAATAACCAAAACGGTAATGAAACAAAACGGCAATGACAAGCACCAAAATGGCAACACACCAAAACGGCAATGACAAGTACCAAAACGGCAATGACAAGTACCAAAACGGCATAGACCAAAATGGCAAAGGAGCGAAATTAATGCCAAGACTAGCAAGCGCTGGCCACAGTTATAATTTTCTGAATCGTTTTGAAATTGTCCCGATAGGCAAATCGAATATTGCCATTGGGCTCTTTTTCCATCTTTCAGTGTTTATTATTATTATTTCTTTTTTTTTTACTTTTATGATATAAATTGTTTAGCCTCATTTTGTCTGTATGTTTTATTTGTTCAAATGTTTTACTGCTTTTATATTGTTCCCCCACCCCCATCTTTTTAATATTGAATTTGTATGACTATTTTTATTATTATTATTATTATTAATGATATTATTGATGCTGCTGCTATTAGCCTCCTTCTTACCGTATTTAATCGTAGTACACTTTCATGTTTATAATTAGTTTATTTTTTCGCATTTTTACTTTTATGACATAATTATTGTTTAGCATTGTTTTGGTCTTGCCGTTTTGACTTATTGCCGTTTTGGTCTATTGCCGTTCTGGTCAAAAAGTGTTGCCATTTTGGTTTTTTGCCGTTTTGGTCATTGCCATTTTGTCCAGAAACCGCTTAATAGTCACCTTCTGGGTTGGTTGGGGCATTTACAAATACAAAAGTTCACAACAACTGACTGATTAAAGGTAAAAAAGACTGCACTGAGTCAGATTTCTATTTAAATATTATAGGCCTAGCCTAGCCTAGGCCCTAGCTAGGCCTACAATCATAATAATTAATTTATAACCAGACTGTAAAATAAGGCCTGTACGAAGAATCCAGATACAATATTCAAATCATTAACAAACCCTAAGAAAGGAAACGGCATAGACTGGCCCTAGACCTGGCCCTCTAGAGCAGGCCTAGCCTAGGGCCTAGCCCAGGAAGGTTGCAAGGCCAGACCGTAGTAAGGCCTGCGCTAGAGCCTTATATTAGACTCCTAGAAACAAGCTTATATGCGCGTCAAATACACAGCCTACCTTCTTTTTAAGTAGGGCGAACTTCTGTTGAAGTATTTCTTCTTCCTCAGTCAATCTAGATGGAAATATCATCTTCATTTTGGAAATTTGGATGCCCACCAATCCTACCTAGGATAGGCCTACCTCTCTTTTATAAGAAAGTGGCTCATTTCATTTTTAAAAGCGCCATCCGTCGTAGAGGGCTTATAACCTGGCCCTCCACACACAAAAAAACAAAACAGAGCACACCGTGCTCACCGCCGATTTGATTTGTCAGATTTTTTCACAAAGCCAGGTGTACTAAAAGGAGTGTTTTATTTGGTAAGCGTTCACAATTCAATTTATTTACTTTTAATCTCCGATTGAGTTTCAGTAGAAATACACTGATACTTTTAAGACGAAAATATGACTACTTAAATTGAGCAGCAATAGGCTGGGCCTAGCACGCAGTGGTGGTGGTGGTGGTGGGCCTAGCCTTGGCAAGCCTATCTTATAGGCCTAGAGGCCAAGCCTGCTTTGCCTCTAGGCCTATCTAATAAGCCCTAACTAGTCTATGCCTAGCAGGTAAATTCTTTTATTATTACGAGGCAGTGGCGGACTCCAAAGAAAATATTTTATTGTCTTTTCTTTGTTTTATTTAGTATTTATTGGCCAACATTTTATTTATTTATTTGTTATTTGTACTATTAAGTTTAACAGCGAAACAACCGCCATAACAGGTTATTAAATACATATAAAATATTTATGTACAAGTAGATATAAAAATACATTTAAAAAATACTAACAACCTTATATTTGAAAACATTTAAACTGTCAAAAAATATCAATATCAATTAACATATTACAAAAGTTTTTAACTAGGCCTACTGTAGCACATAAACGTATAAACCTCCACTGTAACATCAACACGACTAAAAGTTGGGTTTAAAAGACCTCTATTTCGGGTACGTCTAGGCACATGTAAATTAAAATAATGAAGCTAAGTCACAATCATAATCAAAATTCATTGTCTTATTAAAGAAAAACCATTACAGAGAGCATTTTACGATCATTAAGCAAATTAATATTAATAACATAGTTAGGACAATTCTTTATACATAATTTAAAATTTCATGGTGATGCAATCCACAAGGTCATATTCGAGGTCAAAAGGTCATTGACATTAGATTAGTTAATTTTTCAAAAATAATGGCAGATTTAAATTCCTTAGTTAATTCCCTTTTCAGAAATACAAATGCCACACTTTAACATGTCAGGGAACATCCTAGAGTTCAAAAATGTGTGTCAAATATTTACTAAGCAATTGACCTACTGCTTTTCAGAACAATTAGCTCATACTCTATAATAATGATTATTGCAAATGGAATTAGAATTTCAGGCCTGTGATAGTCCACCTGCACTATAACCAATTTTTATGAATATCGATCAACCCTCTTTGAAAAACATGACATGAAGTCTAAGTAAGAAGTTCAGCTTCAATCGTGATAGGACTGAGGGTGTGGCACTTTTGGTACTTGGCTCTCACGGAATGTTAATGCCACTCTCCGTAAAAAAAATCCATAAAAGGTAGATAATCCTATTTATTAAAGCCAGGCACTGGAGTGAAAAAAATATGTGATACATTGTTCAACTTATTTTTCTAGGGCACACAAAGCATATTTGACTAAAAACTTGGAAGCGGTTAATGAGATACAGATTTTAGAATATTTAATAACAGAGTGAAAATGAGGTGTGAAACACCCTTTTTCCTCCAGTTTTTAAATATTAAAAAATCATTAACCACGCCCATTTTTTTTAATGGTTTTTGTGTCTTAGATAAATCAGTACAACATTTTAAAAATTATTTTTCCTCCTGAGCCTGGTTTTAATTGTTGGTAGTTTTTTCAGAAAAAAAAAAACCGTCTTACAATTAGTGATTCACATTGCGTGAATAAAGTAAGCTCATGTAGGGTCGTGTTGTTGTATAGGGCCTAGACATGGTTTAAAGGGGTTTTACAGTAGGTCTGCGTTGATATCTGCAATCTGTGAATCATCTTGCTGGCATCAGGGTGCGTTGAAATTACAGTAATAGCCGTTTCGTTCAACAATATGTCATCAGTCAGCTTGTGTAATTCTAAGAACATACTTCTTTCTCGTCTTTTTTCACCTCCATCAGTCCACCTTCCCTACTTAATCTATTGTCACCTTTGACGTTACAATATTTAAATATTATTTTTTTTCATTTAATAAATAATTTCAAAATCAGTTCTTATTATGTCATTGAGAGAAAGCCTTCTGTATTACAGACATAAACAGTAAGTTTAGTTAATTTTCTTCTTTTTTTTTTTTTCTTTTTTTTTTACAGATTTCTTCACTTGCTAGCAGCATGACCAGAAAAGTGCCACCGCATCCATTTCGTAATCTGTATGATGGTTTGCCAGGCTTTCAAGACATATTTGATGAGCACTCATTTTACTGGTTTGCTTTTTTCTTTGTTATCCTAACCATAGTTGTTGCATATTTCTTATCAAAACGGATCACAATTCGAGAACGTGAACATTATCTGTAAAGGTATGTTTTAAATATTCTTTTTTTTCTCTGATATTTAATAAATATATATTTGAGGTCACATTTTGACAATTTACAAAAATAAAACTTTTAGGAAAACTGTTGCAATTTTGCGGATTGCTAAATATAAAAAAATTCTCTATCAGAAAGTAATCACAACCTTTCCTTATTCCACATTGCCATTACTCTACCAATTGGTTTTTTTGTTGTTTTTTTGTTGTACAGAAGGTGTTATGATGAGGTGTACTGTGAACATCATGTATCCAAGGTAAATTATATTCAATTATGTATTATATTTTTGTTATGTCGCCCTCTAGTGTAGAACTACTATTTACTGAACAATAGTATTATGCTGACAGTTGTTCAATCAGCTTCATGATCAATTTACAAGGCAAATTCCTCTACCTTAATTTTCATGTTTTAGAGGATATTTTTTTTATTATTGCCCAAATTCATATGATTATCTTTTGACCTTTCATATATGTTTTTGCAGTATAATCATAATGAAATTAAAATTCCCTTAAGATGAAATGGTACAGTCCAGTTCCTTATTGTTAGCCTACAAACATTGGAAGCCTTTCTATTGATTTTTTCTCAGTTTCTGTATTCAATACATATATCCAACAACAATCATGAGTGTTCCTAGTATTTAGTTCTGTCCTAAGATATTTATCTTATTCAAGTGAAGCCATGAAAGGTTCGATATGCTACATATATGTCGCAAGTCTTGGACTGCTTTAAGGATAGTGATTACCAAATTAGTGTTAAATTTATTTATAAAAGTGTGTTGATATCGTTTCCATGGTAGTGCAAATGTACAGGGACTGAAGCTAAGAGATTTTGTATTCCAATAATTAAGCTACGTTTTGTGAGTATTGATCTTGTACAATATTATTCTAACCTCCAATGTGGCTATATAAGTCAGCTCCTCTTTAACTGCGCCACAATTTAACATGTGAGGGAACATCCTAGAGTCAGAAAATGTGTTATGTAAAATATTTACTAAGCAATCGGCCTACTGCTTTTCAGAACAATAAGCACATACTCTATAAAATCATGATTATTGCAAAGGAATTAGATTTTTATATCAGGAGATTCAGGCCTGTGATAGTCTACCTGCAATATAACAAATTGAAAATTTGAAATAAAAGTAACTTTTCTTTATTTATTTTTATCCTATTGCTGTTATGAAAATCGCCACATAAATTTATTTATTCAATTTATAAGATTAATTAATTAATAAAGCATTTATCTGCCAGGGGCAGATTCAGCAATTCGGAAATTGAGGGGCTAGATCTCCTCAGCCCAACCATGATTGGGACTGAAATACTCAATTTTATGACTATGGCACCCCAAATGGACGGAATTAGCCCTCTCAGATTTAAATTTCATTTTCATTTTCTTTTTCGTGTCGTCATGTCATCTTTCATAGCTTAAGTTGTTAAAACGCACTCCATCAGTAGTCCAAACAGCATTACAGTTATTAAGATCACCAATAGATGTTTACAAGAGAAGGGACATCATTCCTCTTTGTCTCACACCATTGGTAAATGGTTAAAAAGGAATGCTCCTCTCTAATAACTTTCCTGAAGAGGGTTATGATCGACTCCATCAAATGCCTTAGAAAATTTTAATAGAGTAGATTAAGCAACATTGTATTGTAAGGCAGTTATGTAGGACCTCTTTTAAAAGATAGCCTGCAATTGAAGATGCAAGAGATTTTTCCCTGTGTTTTCTGTATTCCTTTTCTTCATTTGGCGTCTTAGTTGGGCCCAGCCGACACTACTGTAGGGTTCATTTCTTTTGAGATTCAAACAAGCCTCAAATAATCTGATTCTGATTCTTTTAATACAATCTTGCTCTATGAATGCCATATTTACTGCTTTTACTAGGCCTATGCTATGTATGAAAGATGAAAACATCACTTGCACTGCTATGAATAATAATATTGCAACCTTGTTCCTGCAAAATGGACAAACAGCAGCACATTAATCGATAATTAATGCACCTTTTTTTTTTTATAGGAAAACTACTTTGGAACTCTTTTAATAATTGAATGTTTCTCCCTATTACTAGGTATTTGTTTAACTGTATGAGGAACGGTAGAGTAAGAATGGGCAAAAGTTCCAGCAGGCTTGACAATGATGTTCTCAAGGACCTGGAATTGAATACACATTGTAAGAATTTTTTGCCTGTTTCAATAATTTTTTGTTGTCAGACTTACAACCTGTTGTAGTGCTTTGCTAAAATTTTAATAATAAAATAATTTTGTTTTTCAGTTTCTTCAAAAGAAATTTTACAGTGGTAAGTTAATAAATCATGTGATTTTGTTATGTTGATTGATAATAATGAGGATGTGCTACTAAAGGACCTAATGAAATTATTATTATTATTATTATTGTTGCTGTAGGTTGTTTCCTGCTTACTGAAAGAACTTTTCTTTTATATTTATAAAAGATAATAAAGTTTCTTCGTATTTGTATATGTATTTGTATTACCGTTACTGTATTGTCATCATCATCATCATAGACAGTATATATATATATATATATATATATGTATGTATATATATATTTTTTATTAAAAGGCATAAAGGCTTTATGAAGGATTGTCCTGATGGTTGTCTACATCAAAATGAGTTCCTCAATATTTATCAGCAGTTTTTTCCATTTGGAGATGCTACAAAGTTTGCAACATTTGTGTTTAAAGTTTTTGATGAGAATCAGGTAAGAATGTGTTATACTTATCCCAAAGCATATGGCTCACCAATAAAGAAATTAAATGCCATTCATAAACTAATACATCTCCAACAATTTGAGAATGTTTGCATGTTTTTACTAAGTACTGTATATATGGCAAAGTCAAGCCAAACCAGTCAATCATTGGAAAATAAATAGATTTTTAGTTATTAATACAGGGAACATAAACATGAAAGCTGTAAAATAGTAAAAGAATTATTAAAATCCGACATTTCGTTATGAAGTTACAGGAGTTTAGACATACAGTTGTTGAAGAACAATTTTTGAGAAAGCGGCTTTCAAAGTTTATGATTTTGGGCATTTCTCAGGCAGAAACCATCACCAAATCGTTATAAATTGTTGTTTTAACATTGGACATGAGGAAAATAACAGCATAGCATGATATATAGATATATAAAGGTTAGTTAGTGCAATAAAATACTAAATAGGTTTCAAAAATGTTGACCATGTTTTGGCCATTATCTCTGTAACAGGATATGCGACGAGTGACTTGTTTGGCTTGTCTTTGCCACGTGTTGTCTCATTGGAGCTCATACAATCAGATTTCCATAAAGTGATCACAATTAAAAATAAAAACTAACATTTTAGATTCTGTTTTATGTTTCAATACATTTCTTCAATATGTGGCAAAGACAAGCCAAACCAGTCACTCGTCGCAAAAATCGATTTTGAGTTATTAATACAATGTTAGAGAGTAAAATAATAGCTATAAAATGGTAAAAAAATCTTTCAAATCGGACATCTCCTTATGAAGTTACAAGCATTTAAACATACAGCTGTTTAAAGAACAATATATGAGAAATGAGCCTTCAAGTTTATGATTTCAGGCATTACTCATGCAGAAACTATCATCAAATCATTAAAAAGTGTTGTTTTAACATTGAAAATGGGGAAAATAACAGCATAGAATGACGTATAGATATGTAAAGATTAGTTTAGTGCAATAAAATAGATATTTAAAAATTTGACATTCCAGCATGTTTTGGCCATTTTCTCTGAAACAGGATTTGCGACGAGTGACTGGTTTGGCTTGTCTTTGCCACGTATATTATTGCCTGCTGTGGTACCATATAAGGTGTACTTTTTTAAATCAGTCATGTGAGGCACTTTTTTTTTGCTTATGGATCAAAATGTTACATGCATATAAAATATATTTTACTACAAAAATAATTTGATTCTTTTAGAGATTACAGGCCAGATAAAATTGGTTGAGCTCAAACACATGATTTAATTGATTGCTTGTTCTTACCATGCTAATATTATTGTGATTTTTAATTATTTTTAAGGATGGGTTGATAGAATTTACAGAATTCATCAAGGCTTTATCAGTGACATCAAGAGGCAATGTGGATGACAAATTAGATTGTAGGTTTTGGTGAAGATGAGGTTTAAATGGAAATTTAGGTTTTTATTCGATTGCTCAGTAGTCATTTTCATCATCATAATCATTTTTGTTGTTGTTATTATTACATCATCACCTTCATAAAAAATCACTTCTACTATTAAGTAAACTGAAAAATGGGAGGCTCACTCGCCAATGGTTCCGGTGGTGGAACAAGTCTTCTCGGATAAGGACTTTAAACCGTAGGCCCAGTGTACGCATTTGGCTCGTGTGCACTTTAAAGAACCCGGTACATCATTCGAGAAGAGTAGGGGGTTACCCCGGTGTACTGGTCCATTAAGTCCCTTGTTGTTAAATGGATATGCCACGTAGGACAGTGATTAAGTTCACTTATTGGCATATCCTTGGCCCTCGTGCCTAAAGAAATGAAATGAAAATGAAATGAAATGAAAAGATGGATGTAACATTGCTGGGTCTCGCCTAGGATATTCTTATGTCAAACTCAGCATTTGTCTGTGGGCTAGAAACTATGCAAACTAGGTCAATTCTAATCCAGGAAAGAACATTGGTCAGTTCTAGGTTATTGATAATTCAGACAAAGCATTGTGCCTGTGTTAAAGGTTCTGAGTAAAATATGCAGTAGGTTAAAGGTAGTTTGCATAGCCAATCTGACCAGGAACAGTTCCACCGTTTGCACTGCTTCTAATCGCCAACAGCTTTCAGTGATGGTGATTGGTCGGTCGAATCAAGGAGCCTTCCCCATTGCATCAAAAATACTTTAGCGACAGTGTAGCGTTGTATGGAAACCAAACTACAACCAGTTTTTTTTTGCATTAGACTGGGTTTTTTAGTGAGAATGGGGTTGCAGGACTGTCCTGTCCTAGCTTTAAGCTACTGTAAATTTGTCCTACATCAGATTATGTGCACTAAACCATTGCCCGTCATTGGGGGTTCAGACACCACAAGGGGTGGTAACAGATGTCATTGTGGCTGTACCCCACCTCCCAGGCATGAAAACTTCAATAAAATTGAAATTTATTAAACAATATATGAAATTAATAGGAAACCACAGTTCCCATTGGGTTCTGGCTTATTTTTTTTTTCTATTCTGAAAAATTCAAATATTTGATGTTTTGTTTATAGGGGCATTTAGACTGTATGATCTGGACAGAGATGGGTACATTAATAAAGATGAAATGATGGAAGTTGTGGATGCAATTTATAAAATGGTTGGCCCCATGGTAACTTACCCTGAAGATGAGAGCACACCAAAAATGATGGTTTCCAAGATATTCAAGAAAATGGACAAGGTAAGTTCCTATCAGTTTGACTTTCAAATGTTATAGATATAACATTTTCTGTATTAAGATACTGAGAAAAAATATGGAAAACTAAATTAAATTCAATCATTGCATTGCTCTTGTAAAATAGTAAAAACATTATCAGCTAGCCTTCCATTGAGATCAAATTAGCTTAGTTTTTGTAGGGAGAAGCCACTTACTGGAGTAATTGTTTAACACAGTTTCGCTGCCAGGAACGCGAGTTCACATCCGACAGGTTTCACTTAGGGCGCTAAGGACGTGAGTTCACGTCCACACCTGTTTGAACATACCGCTATTTTATTGCTTGTAAAGTCTCTGGCAGTGGTCACAAAAAAACTCTCGCCCTGGAGGTTTAGGGAAAAACCTGAAAGTAACGACCTAAACATTTTTGTTGGTGGTTCATTACAGTTGATGGGAATGATTTTCATTATGGTGGCGCCCTTTATGCTTTGACGTATAGGATAAAACTAGGAAAAAAAGGGCAGCGAACATATTAACAAGCTTATGCAATCTGATTGTATTTTGCTCCATGTGCGTATACCCATAGTTAGCTAATAAAATTGATAAAATGGAAGTAAAACATTCAAACATCATGCGGAAAGTGTGCTTTGCTTGCTCGTGAGAACGTGGGAGACCATACTGATTTCCGGGAGGCTTCCGCTACTCACAAAAAAATGGGACCTCCGCTGTTTTAAAAAAAGAGAGAAACGCACATTATCACCACACACAAAAGTTTCAGAAATTACAGAGATACACTTGGAAACTGACTCTTGACTCTAAAAAGGTTCTAACTTGTAATAACATCTCAGCTGAGTAACCTGAAAATCAGTCTTTGTATAAATAATAATTTATTCGACATTTCACTTTTGTAACAGTGGCAATACACAATAAGTGGTACAGACAATCTTAAACTAAGAAAGATTTAAGCAGTAAATAAAAAAAAAACACAGTGCTTTAGTTAAAGAAAACTAAATCAAGTTAGACTAAGCTTAACAAAAGAATCTACGAATACTAAACTAGAATTCAACATAAAATTAAATAGAACAAAGAAAAGAAAACTTTAATCAAGAGTGTAAATGTAAACAATGTATAATGTAGTAGTTATAGTATACTGAATAAAGGCATTGAAGCAAAGTATCAAGAACTGATCGGGGATATCTTATTAAAGTGTCTAACACCCCCCCCCCCCCCCCCCCCCAAGCACCTGTTATTTTACAAAATATTCAAGAGGCCTCAAATTGCTTACAGCTTTTTTTTTGTTGTCTTTTTCAGAATTTGACGGAGAAACTTTCCAAAGAAGAGTTCAAAGATGGCTCAAAAGTGGACCCAACCATAGTGAAAGCTTTATGCCTGTATGATGGCCTTGTATGATCCACTCCCTTCACATTTATTTATATTTTATTTATACCGAAACATGACTTTGTAGATTTTTAAAATGTTTTGATGTGTAATTTTTAATACATTTTATAAAAGATATAGGGCTTCGTAGTTTGGTACTCTTTTTGCTCTTGTATTTATTCCTTATTTGGAAAGAATTATTTTAAAAGCCCAAAAAGTCCAAATTTCTTGAAATATCCTGATAATTATTGTATACAAATTGATGTGATAGTGGGAAATTGTTTTCTATTTCAAGTTTGGCAAGATGGTGCAGTGTTGAATGTTGTTGAAAGTAGCCCTCTTACAACTTACCATCCTACTGTAGGCACTACTATGCCTGTTTATGGTCACTGAAAACTCATTCCCGCTTACACAAAGCCCAGTGGGCATCACAACCAATCACAGTGTGTAGCTTGAGATGTTTTACAATTTTACATAGAACCAAAAATGTACCTTAAAATTAGGGACAAAAAAAATGTAATGGTAAATTGAAAAATAGGTGGGGAAACACATCTGTTTGCATCGCATTATTATAATTATGCCAGTGTGATTTAATTGTTATCATTTTATGGATATTTGTCTTCTAAAATGGGTTTTAAAATGAGCAAATATGAGGAAGAAACCTAAGTAAGTAAGTAAGGAAAATGACATGATATTTTTTTGGTGGTGAGAGCATTTTTCAGGGATTGAAAAAAGTTTACTACAGTATTTGCTTACTAGAAAGAACTTGATCATATTCAACTGCTGATACCTTACAATAAGAAAAAACACTGAATAGTTTCTTGATGAAACTGTGACTTCTATCATCATATTTAATTTAAAGTAAGTGCAATGTTTTCCCACTTGATGTGGGGTATTTATGTTGTCGTCGTTGTTGTTGCTGCTGTTGTTGTTTTTGTTTTATGTGTTTATTAGAGAAAGTTGAGTGAGGCTGTAATGCAAAGCTGATAGGTAGGTAGGTAGAGCCGAGCAGTCACCTACAGCCCAACATAGGCACCGGTTCAAACAGTTCGCTCGCCCAGGGTTGTGGTGGTGAAACACAAACCCTATCATGTGGATTTCAAAGAACCTTCAAAGACTTGATGAAAGTGTCTGTGGGCTGCACCTGACGTGATGGGACCTAGGGAAGTACCAAGTTACAAGTTAGTTCGTTCACTGAGTGCATAGAGACTAAAGGTGCCGTAATATACGCTAAATAAATCTCCAACCTTTTATTGTTATTTATTATTATACTGGTATCATACTGTGTATTATAAGTGGTTTTTTTTTCATTATATAAAGTGGTTTCCAAATATGACAAGAACTATGCTATATGCTGTAACATTTTTGTCCATCTCGGTCTGCAGTATGTATCCTAAAATGTTAATTGATGTGAATTCAGGTACTAGTTAATTAGGTTTGCATATTTATAACATTTTGGTGATGTGAAAATGATGTATTATTAACCTGTACCCATTGAAAGTTGGGTACAAAGTTTTTAATATGTTCAAGAAAATTTACTTTATACATTTGCAGTCAAAAGAACACAGCAAAACAATGTTTTCCTATACACATTCCTACATGGGCATTGTAACTGTTATTCTACTAAATATCATACAGCTCAAGTTGCTGTAAATTGCAAATAAACATAAATGTTTGTTGATCATTTGTTGTTACCTGTGATTTCTAACAGTACATAAGTAACTATGTTCAACAGGGTAGGCCTCCCTCCATCGTCCATTGTTAACGTACCTGCCAGCCTATGTAACATAACTCTGGCAGTATTTAGCTTTTGTGTAAAGTAAATATTTATTTTCAAAAGAAGTTAATAAAAAATAGAATAAAACAAAATATTTTATTTATTTATTGGGTTATTTATATACCGCCTTTCTTTGCAGATAGGAAGAGCTTTGGTTCCCAGTCATTGGGATCAGTGCAGGATCAGACAGCCCCCTAGTACCCATTTTATAGTCAGTGGTGAAGAGAAGCAATGCAGATGTTTATTTTGTTGTATATATAGCGCCTTTTTTTTTCGCCCGGGAGTGGGGGCCGGGTTGGCCGCGGCTCCCCTTTTGGAAAGTAACAATAGAGAATGAAGGAAAAAGAAATAAATGATCGCCCAAAATGCCTTAGAAGTTATTTTCGGGTGTCTAGGAAACAATATTTAGCGGGAGAAAGTTCCCGGACCTCCTACAGTAGTGTTGCCTCAATCAGTTCCACTTTCGGGGCAACGCCCCCCCCCCCCCCTCATTCGGACATCTCAGGATCCACCCCTGTTTACAGATACAATGCGCTTCTGTTCCCGGTCATTAGGATCAGCGCAGGAGCAGGCAACCCCACTATGTAATACCTGGCTACTCCTGCCATGCAAATAAAGCCATGCAAATAAAGTGTTCAAGTGAAATGCACAGCGAGGGTTTGAAACCCCCAAATTCAAGGTTGCGAAACCAAACCGTTCCCACTGCGCCAAACCATTTATACAATATATTGTCATAATACAGTACTGTATAATAATAATGATAGATAATAATAAAATATATTCTTTTATAACCTTAACAACCTTCATGATTAAACAGAATAGTACTGCAGCCATATGCCTTATGCTATATACACCGACTTTCATGGGTGAACAGATATAGTGCGCCAAAAATAGCATAGTGATGTACCATATATACACTTATACATTGCGATCATCATGACACAACGGTATATATATATATATATATATATGTAATGTCACTACTGATAATATAGACGACTTTACACGACTCAAGCCTTACTACTCAAACTGGACACCGCCTTCTGGTAAATTTGCAGCTCTTGATTTGTACATCGACAATGCTGTCATGATATCTCCAATATTAATGTTAAGCAACGTTGCCGTTCACCTACATTTACGCCTAACGAAAAGAAAGCACTCCTGTCCCTACGCAAAAACAGAGACTATGTTCTTAAACCAGCAGACAAGGGGGGATGTACAGTAGTTTGGCGCAGAGACATATACATTCTGGAAGCTAATCGACAACTTGCTGACAATAATTCATACAGACCATAATACCTCAAGACCCTACCACTGATGATCAAGACCTAGTTAAGCGGATTATTAAGGAACTTATAGACAAAAATGTCTACCTCCTACAGTAACCGCACTCTTGAACGCTAATCAATGTTCTCGCTTTTACATGTTGCCGAAAATCCACAAGGAAAACTCACCAGGACGACCCCATTGTGTCTACTTGCAATTGCTCAACGGTTATCATCAGCCAATATCTGGACAACATATTCTCTAAAATTGTTGAACAGTTACCTACATACATAAAAGACACCAGTAACGCCATTCGTAAGTTCAAATCATATAAGTTTACAGGCGATAAAAAATACGTATTCACCATGGATGTTACTTCTCTGTATACCTCAATACCTATATGCGACGGTCTCACTGCTTTGAAATTCTTCCTGGATCGTGATAACTCATCTAGCTGTTCTACCTCCACACTCCTCCGACTATCTGAATTAGTCCTTAATACAGCGTCATTTGAATTTAATGGGCAATTCTTTCGACAAATATCAGGAGTCAGCATGGGAACCAAGATGGGGCCGAGTTTCGCCTGCTTATTTGTTGGACACTTAAGAAAACCAGATTTTTAAAATCCTATAACGGAACGAAGCCTAGTTTTTTTAAAAGGTATATTGATGATTGTGTGGGGGCTGCATTTTGCTCTTTGGATGAACTCAATAAATTCATCTCATTTGTTCATAATTTCCACCGCATTACAGTAACTCCACGTACGAGATTTCTACCACGCAAATTACTTTTCTGGATGTAACTCTCTCAATCTCTGGGGACTCATTGTCTACAAGTATTCACTACAAACCTACAGATGCACATACATTTTTAAGATATGACTCTAATCACCCACCCAGCTGCAAGAACAGTATACCATATTCCCAACTTCTTCGTTTACGACGGATTTGTGACGACGACACATACTATTCTTTTCAAGCTGATAAAATGATGTCTTATTTCCATCAACGGGGATATCCATCATCTGTGACTGAAAACGCTATCAAACGTGTATCATCTAGATCCCATAACAACGTTTTACAGCCTAAAACCACCAATACTACTTCTGATGATAGAGTGCCACTCATTCTCACGTACAACCAAGATAATATTAAGGTCGCTAACGTCATCCGCAAAAACATCCACATCCTGCTATCTAATGATGACACCAAAGAGATTACTTATCCGCCCATAGGCGCCTACCGAAGAGATAGAAGCCTTCGTGATACTCTCGTTCGTTCCGTCATTGCAAGTCGACTAACCGCTCCTGGCTCAACCACACCATGCAAGAGACCCAGATGTAAAACCTGCCAACATGTGTACTCTACAGAAACCATAACCTGACCCACTGGATCACATCACATCAGAGACAGTTTCACCTGTACTACCACTAACGTTGTATATGCCATCACCTGTACTAAATGTAACCTCATATATGTTGGAGAAACTAAACGTCGTTTAGCTGACAGATTTACAGAACACCTAGGTCTATTAAACTTAATTTACCTGGCCTACCTATAGCTTCGCATTTTACCAGAAATCATGATAATGATATAATCGTTACAGGTATTGCTCTATGCAACGGTTCTGACAAAGTCCGTAAGACACTTGATCAAAGATTAATATATAAACTAGGCACTATTAGCCCCATGGGTTAAATGTTAGCTTCACTATGTTCAGGCTGTAATTATGTCTTTTTACCGTTTTATTTTATTTTAATACATGTTTTTATATCAACCAGCAGTTTGCTTAAAGGGCCATAGAAAAGGTGATGGGCGTCAAAACTGACTTTTAAAGCAATTATAGTCAAGCAATTTCATACACTATAGGAAATATAAGCCTTAGGAGCCATTATTTCCTTCAAAATGAATGGCTCCTTTGGCTTCTATTTCCTATACTGTACCTAAAAAAGCCTCAATGGCCTAGTTGGTTAAGGCGTCTGCATAGACAGCAGAAGGTGCCCACGATGCAGATTCCTTTTTAACGTTAGAATTTATATATTAACAAGCTGCTATTTTAAACTATTTCGTAGCTTAAAATTGGCTTCACTATGTGTGAGCCCTCTAGTTTGTATTTTAATTCTGAGCTTTGTTCCTTTTCTTTTTAATTTTTTTTTTTGTGCGGCTTGTACTGTAGTGGCTTAGCGCATAGATACGATTTCATATTATGTGCTATATAAGTATATCACCATTACCTACCATCACCATTTGTATGAAAGGAGAGTGGTCAGGGGTGGTGCCAGGGTTTTCCCGACGGGGGTCCGAGGTGCAAGACGGGGCGTGGGGGCGATACCTCCGACGAAGGAGAAGATTTCCCCGACGAGAGCAACATGGGCGTGGTCGAGCGTTGCTTAAAATGTATCGAAAGTGTCTAGGGGCGAAGCCTTCGAAAATTTTGACAATTTAGGGGTTTCACTGAAAGTCTACTAATGTACGAAATACATATAATTTTTTTTTCTCCCCGACGAATTGCGGTTTTTCTCTCCCGCCCCCCTGCTGGCGCGCCACCCCTGCTAGTGGTCTTAGATCTGTAATGACATTATGTGCCTCTTTGGTCTAAACGGATGACGCTTTCCGAGATAGCGGGAGATTGCGGGTTCGATTCCCACCTATAATATGGAGCTTTTGTTAAAGACAAAGGCGGCGGAAGCGTGAATGGGGAGGGGATGGTGACCAGGGGCCATTGGCCCCTCCGCTTTTGCTACTGGGGGCCAGCCCCCCCCCCCCTTTTGTGACTGCTCCCAGCACCAGTGACAAACATTGTTAACGAAAGCTATACAATGTCATTATTACAATTATAATTTGTTGATCTATATGCTAGAGACCTTGATTATTTTATTTTTTATAAATCGATCTATTATTATAGATTTTTTTTTTCATTTTCAAACGAACCAGTGTGTAGGCCTACCATATTGATTGACGTCTGTAAAGCGCGAGTCTGTAAAATTTCCTTGAAAAATATCCTCGAGCATTTAGAAAGCAATGGAATCGTTCGCCCGCCTTGCGTAAATTCTGTATTCAGGCACAGAGCGGCTGTTTATGTAAACGATGAAGATGAAAGTGTAACTGATTGGATTACAATAAGCCATCAAACCAATTAAATTCCACTTAGGCTAATTTAACGAAAACAATAAATTAGGCCATTAAAGTTCTCTGGAAGGTTAATTAAAGAATTTATACATTGTAATTAATGTATTATAGGTTGTAAAAACTTTATTGAAAACATTTTCGCTTGACATTACAAATTAGTTTTTGTGAAACAAAATGATGGTTCAAATGTTGTATTAAACAGTAGCGGAACCTAGCCGGCACCAGTCCCCACCCCCTAACTTTTTCAAAATTATTTAAAAAGATGGAGAAAAGAGAAAATTACAATCAAATTTTAATATATTGTAAAAACTAGTGAAAGCCTGTTCGCTTTACGAATTAGTATTTGTGAAATAAATGATAGGTCAAATGTTATATTAAACAGTGGCGGAGCTCTTCTAAATTTTTGATGCCTATAAAATAACTAATACTGTAATACAATTCACCAAACTTCGTCAAATATCTGTATCTTATCAACTATAGCTTTTCCACTGTCCACCACTTGGTCATTCATTGTTCTCACATCACTGTTTATCTGTACAGTACATAGATGGGCCTAATTAATCCTTTATAGTATGCCGACTTGCTTTTGACTTTAATATTGTTTCTCATATTGTACCGGTATATTACCATGGAGGAAATATATTAATATATTTCCTCCATGCTATTACCATGGACCTAATAGGTCCATGCTAT